AGGATGAGGCGGAGCGTGACGGCCAGTTGCGGCCCTGCGACGACTGCCCGCGAGCCTTCTGCCCGGACTGCCTCCAGCCGCCGCCCGCGGGACCCCGCTACTGCCCCAAGTGCCACAAGAAGGTCGGCTCGGCTCGCCCTCGCCTTGAGATGCCGCTGGAAATGAAGGTCGGGCTTTGTGACGCGCAGGTCCCGAGCGCGGAAAGCGCGCCGTGGCCTCGCGACGTCACGCACAAGACGGGTGAGTTCCCGACCGAAGGGGTCGTCCCGCTCTCCGCCGACCCCCGGCGCCGTCGGTCGCTTGTTTAGCGCTTGTTCTTGCGGCAGCGCGTCGGGAGGAGAAGCGGCGTCTGCTGCGGCGCCACGGCGAGCTGAAGGAGGAGTGCGCTCACCTGGAGGAGGAAGACCAGCAGCTCAACAAGACGCTCCAAGTAAGTCGCCCGACCGGTCGCCTTCTCCGTCACGCCCCGCGACGGCTCGGGTTGACCGCTGGGGCGGGCTCGACTTTGGGGCGACGCGCGGCTCCTCATTTCAACTCTGCGATGAGCAAAGCGCGGAAGCTGGAGAAAAGTCGCGCGCGGCATCGGTCCCCAAACGCCGACGAGCGTCCGGGCGGGCCTCGTCTTGCGCTGGGGTCTTCTGGCAAGGCGGGAGACCGGCGGAGGGCGGTGCCTGAGCCTGCTCCGATACTCGGGCCGAGGCGCGCGGCTCGCTTGACGGACCGGGCCGACTTTCTCCGGCTCCTTTGCGCTCTCTGGCGACGTACGTTGCCGGCAGAGGGGGGGGGCGGGCGAAAAAAGACACTTGGTGCTTTCCTGAAATGGGATATATCCTTTCCCGCGGCACGCCGCTTCTTTCCTCCTATTCTCCACTTGGTGTCATTTTGAGTCCGCCTTTTCTGTTGGTTTTGGTGCCGTTTTTCTTTGTCTGACGCGCCGTCCGTGCTTCCCCCCAGCGCTGCCTGGATCGACGAGATCGTCTGGCGGCGCGGCAGCGGGACGCGCTGGCGGCGCTGGAGCGGCTCAAGGCGCTCATCGGGCTGATCCGGGTGACCGAGACCGACGGCGCCGCCCCCGCCCCCTCGGCGCCGCCGTCCCGGATGAGAAGCGGGCCCTCGGTCCCTCCCTTCTGGACCTCGCCGGACAACCACTCGCCTTAACCCAACCGAGCCCCCTCCCGCTCCACCTTGGCCCGAAGTAGTTGTTGCCAAGACCTCCGGTGCTGACGACATGAGTTTTCCTCTCTTGTTGGTGGGCCTCAAGCTTGTTGCGGATGCCGCGGCGGCAACAGCGGCGGCAGCTTTTTTTTTTTTTTTTCTCCTTTTTGCCAAAACGATTCAGGAAGTATTTGAAGAAGACGACGGAAGTATTGGCGAGCCAAGTCGAGCAAGGCGGCGCCGTTTGGCGTTTGTACGTCGGCACGTTGACGCCGAGGCCGTCCGATCAAAGGGACCGGACCGGCGCGGCCCGCGCGTTGGGAAAAACGCCGGTTGCGTGCGCCGCTCCCGATGCGTCCCCGGTGACGGTGCTTCACGTTGACTGGCGACCGGTCGTTTGGCCGACCGTGGACGACTCCTTTGTTTGGACGGACGGACTTTGCGTGGCGACTCCGCCTCTTGACGTTGAATGGTGAGCGCCAGTCCATTGGCCGGGCGCCTCGACGTTGGCCTGAGTGGCGACCGGTCCGTGAACTTGCGAGCGCTCCGCCGTTTGCCTTCACGCGGCGGGAGACTTCTGTTGTGAGGCGACATTGAACCGGTGACGAGCTCGCCGACCGGCGACCTGAACTCTCCGCGGCTTGTCTACGTGCCCCGCGATTGGCCGGCGACCGCTTCGGGGTGCGCCTCGCCACCAGTGGGCGGGATCGGCTCCGGCGACTCTGCGGGAGGACGGATGAACGATGTGCGTTCGTTTGCGTGACAAATATGCCAAAAATGGTTTTCGCGTTACTTTTGTTTGAGTGGAATTTGGGCTTTTTTGGGGGCCGAGCCGCAGCCAGCCCGCCTCACTTGAGCGCTGGCTCGTCTTCCCGCCGCCACGCATATCAGCACGGCGGCCCCCCCACGCCTGCCCGCCGGGTGCCCACCGCGGCCTCCCTTTTTCTCCTCCAACAAAAGCGCCGGTCGCAAAGCCAGCCTCTCCCAACGCGCGTTCTGCTCCGGAAGAAACTGTGCCGCCGCCAAACAGATTTCTGCGATTTTACTCGAGCACACCTTTGAACAAAGAACTCTCGGCGTCCAAAACCTTTTTCTATTCTTTTACCGAGCGGCAAAAACAAAAGTTTGTACGGCGGGACGCTCCAGGCTGAGCGGATGCCGCCGCGGGGACGTGACGCTAGCCGCTAGAGGAAGTCTTTTGTCTTCGATATGCCAACGTAGTCGTTCACTTTTTCTACTGACTTCTTATGAAAACAAGACCAAAAAAGAAAAAAAAAATCCTGAATAAACATTTCAACTACGAGACCCGCTACTGCTTTATCTTGTCAAACGCCGACGCGTTGTGGACAACTCACAAATTTTGTGTGTGTGTGTGTGTGTGCGTGCGTGCGTGTGCACCCATGACTTTGACAGTGTGTTTGAGGGGGGGTGGGGGGGCACTCGCTTGAGTGCGAGTGAGTACATGAATGCGTATGTGCAAGTGAGTGCGCGCGTGTATTTGTGCGAGCGCAATTTTGTGCGCGTGAGATTAGCGATGCCAAAGAGCGCCTCATCGTCTTGTTGTGCTTTCAGGAGTGGCTCCGTGCTCGCTGCACGCCCTTAATGTTTCCAAGCGACCCGTCAAGGTTCCGACAACATTCGGCACTTGGGGAAGGAAGGCGCTCACCCCGCGGCTCTCGGCGCGCTCCGCAGGATGGACGTGGGAGCGAGCGGCGACGCCCGACAGCCTGCCGTTGACGGCGCTCAGGTGACGTATTGTTGACTGTGGCGTGTTGGCGCGGCGGCGTCTCCAGATGCATGTTGAACGAGTTCCCTGACGGTGCTTCGGACTCGAACCCGTCTCACTGAGGAAATCCCCTTCTGCCCCCTCCACAGGACGCTCGGTCGCCACCCGATTGTTTGTGCCGTCGCAGCCTCCGTCGGCGTTACGGTGACGATCGGGGAGAGAGCCGCCGGGGTTGAGGACGCGGCCCCCGCCTCCGCCGGACGGATGGGAATCTCGCCGGAAGGTTCTGGCGCGCCCGCGCCTTTCCCACGACGCTAACGCCGCAATGTCATCGGATCGCAATCGGCCGACCGTCCGGGAAGATTGGAACGTCGTCATCGAGCTCCGACCGGTCCGTCGTCCGAGTTGACCAAGGCGGCGGAGCGCCCGTCTGTGCCCGAGTCCCGCGGGAGGGTGAGCAAACGTTTCACGGCCGCGAACCTCGGCCAGAATGCGGGGAATCTTCGAATGTGTCCGGGAGAAGCGCGATGTTGCCGCGGTGATCCGCGCCACTTCCCGTCCACGCCCCCATGTCCCCCGCGACTCATTGGAACGCACAAGCCCTCGCGCACGCTCGCCGCAGAAAAGCCTCTGACATCGGGGAAGGAGCGGCAGCTCCTCGACACCCGGGCCGCGGCAACGTTGGACGACGAGGATGGAAGGAAGGAAGACTTGTGGCGGAGCGCCGGAGGTCTTTCCTCACCTTCGCGCCTGAACTCACACGCGCACGCTTGTGCGGCTGCGCCCACCCAACGCACCTTTGAACCCGCCGGCCAGCTCTAAAAATAAGCCCAAGCGCTAACGCAAATAAACGCCGGGCTTCCTTCCCCGCGCACATGCGACATCTGGACAAGATGGCCGACGCGTCGGGGCGCCCTGCGCAAGATGGCCGCCCGCGGAACGCCTCTCTAAGTTTGCGAAGGGGAAGGCCGCCGCTCGGCAACGGGCCCGTCGCCTCTGCTGAGGGATGCGCTTCGTCGGTGTCCAGAACGGCGAGCCGTGCGGCGTGCGCGTCAAGCGGCTAATGTGGCGCCAAGCGAGCGGAACGCGCTCATTAGCTCGCAGACGACGAATCGGCCTTAACGAGGCGCCGATGACGACGACCTCAATGCCCGACGGGGGATGACGGCAACCGGCCTGCCATTGGACGGAAATCAACCAGAAAGCTTTCTTCACGCCAAATCTTCCCCGGAATACACGACGAATAGGCCTTTTGTTTTTGCCCGAGAAATTCAAATCATCCGCCCATCTGTGAGCCAACTCAAATATGACCCAAAATTGGACTTTTTTTTTTTTTTTTTTGGGCTCGCTTGCTTGTCGGTGCGATCGACTGAAGTCGCACGGGCTCGGTTTTTGAAAAGGCCGCCTCAGCGGGGAGGCGGCGGATCGGGACGGCGAATGCTTTGCGGAGGCGGCGCGCCAGCGGGAACGGGAGGCGGGCGAGGGACGCGCCGTCACCTTCCCCTTCGTGGCCGGCGGCTAATTGCTAACGGCGGCCCGCTCTCGCGAGCTGACGAAGATGCGGAGCGAAGCTTCCTTTGCGGGAGTCACGCGACCTTTGCGGACATTAGCGCCGCTCATTAGCCGTGCGCGGCGTGCTGGGAAGTACGAATGAGTCATTGTCTTTTTGGGGACGACGCGCCGTGTCACGACACGCGACGCGTCGTGAGCTTCTTGCTGGGAAAACGTGAATCCATCGGAAATGTCATTTTTCAAATGAGACAAGCTCCAAAAAAAAAAAAAAAACCAAAGCCACTGGAGATGAAAAGCCTTGTTCATCCGCGATGGACTGGCAAGCGGCTCAGGGCGTACGCCAAGAAAACAACAGCAGAGAAAAGAAAAAAAAAGGCGCTTCGGATCAGGGATGGATGAATTCACAAGCATTTGGGGATCAAGCAGTGGATGCAACGTGGCCGACCGATATTTGATGGGACTTTTCTGCGGCCGAAAAGCGGTCGGTCGGAGGCAACGGAGGGCCCGCGGTAGGCCGGCCGGCCGTCTCGTCGCTGGCCGCCGCTCGCTCGGGCCAGGTGGCTCATCTTTGCGGCAGATGTGCCGGAGGAGAAGAGGAAAAAGGTTTCGCTTCGGGGAATCCGGGAATGCTGGAAAAGGACATAGTTGGGAATCACGGGGCGAGGAGAAGGAAGGTGCCGCGCTTTTGTTTAGACTGACTTTGAAGAGCCGGGAAGGCGTTCCGCCGGCTCTCGGATTCCTTTGCCTCCGAGCGGGAAGGTCGGCCGCCGTTCCCCGGGAAGGCCCGGGCCTGGGCGGGCTTTGTTTTGCGTCGGGGCAGGTGCTCGGCGAGCGACGGAAGGGGGCTCTCGGCCCTCCCGCTCGGTGATCCCGCTGATCTTTATGCCAACAGGCCGCCGCCGCCGCCGCCTGTGATTTGCCGCCAACGTCCGGCTTGTGAACTCCCTTGCGCTCACGCCGGTGGAATGTTTTCGGCCGGCGGCGGCGCCGCCCTTTTTGGTCTTCTCTATCGGCGCGGGGCGGAAACACAAAGCAGCGCGAGCACCCCGCCAAAACCAAACAAAGCCAAAAGGTGGGAAGGAGGCGAGCGAACGGCAGCGGAGATGCCGCCGAGCCGGTGACATGTTGCTGCGTTGCCCTCCCGCCCGCGCGCAGGCGCAGGCGCTTCCTGGGTGGCCCCATAAACAAGAACACCTGACTTTCCTTGTCCAAATAAAGAAGGAGACCGCAGAAGAAGACGGAACATTCTTCTTCTCTTGTCAATCCCCGACATGTGCCGCCTTCCTCGCCGTCCTCTTGCGCTCCCGCTTCACGGTCCAATTGAGCATTTGTTTTCGCAGGTGTCGTCCCGAGTCGCGGCTCGGCGGTATTTCCCCCTGCGCCGAATTGGACGGCGAGAGATCACGCTCAACTCCGACCCGCCGGAGCCGAGTCCGCGCCTCGAACGAAATGGGGCCCGCAGGACAGCATTTCCAAAACGGTAAGGGATGACCTCGTCGTGAGTGAACGCGCCGAGCCGTCTATCGTAAGAGTGGCCCGGGAACCGACCGATGGGTCGATTGGCGCTTGTAAAACGAAGCATGTGGTCGAATGGCAGACGGTGCGCACGAGCTGACTTTGTTTTCTTGTTTCGTGGACAGCGGATGCCGGGGTCCCACCTTTTGGACGCCGATTCGGCCGGCCGCGCCGGAGGACCTCAACGGGGCGGCTCCGGAAACGAGCGGT